GCCGGGGACACAGTCCTAACTCTGAGAGCCCTGGAACAGCTCACTTCTTCCCTCTGAACCTCAGTTTCTCCATCTGTAAAATGAGGACACCTGTGGGCCCTTTCCAGCCCTGACTGTGCAGGATGGTGACCTAGAGGAACATGGCCAGCACCCACCATTTAGCACATAGGGTTTCCGCACAAGCTCCTTAGGCCTCTCCTCTACGTCCACCTCCATGGCCTTCACCTGCAGAGAACAGAGCCTGTGAGACCAGTAGACAAAGGAAGGATTCTGAATGAGGGAAAATTCAAGAGGCTCCTGCCCTTCCCAACACAACTGCATTACCCATAAGAATCCCTATACAAGGTCAGGCAGGAATAGATGACAAGGAGAACCAATGCCCTGGAGGCTTCATGGTTTCCAAAAGAGACTCAAGCAAGCAATTAATTTGTCTGTGCTTATCTATAAATGGGCATAATAACCCTTGCCTGCCTCACTTTGTTGTGTGATAACAGAACAAAAGTGTTTTATAACTTACAGGGAGGGGGAGATGTCAGATTTCTTCTCTATGGGGAGAAGCAATCTGCCAGTGCTTGGCTCTAGCTTGACATTTGTTCAAGAAACAGTAGTGCCATTTTCCTCTGGCACGAGGGATAAAAAGAAACTTGCCAAAGGCAATTGGACAAATTCAATCAGCAAACCCATTCATTAGTTAACTATCCATAGAGCACTAGTCACATTCTAATCACCACTGGGGATTTAGTAGTGAACAAAACATAAAGTCCTTGTCTCCAAGGAGATTATGTTGGGGGAAAGAGGCACAGACAATAAACAGATAAACCAATAAATATATACTATACCATCAGGTAGTTACAAGTGCTATGAATTAAAATAAAGCAGGGAAGAAGTTACTGAGGGAAAAAGGCTGCTATTTTTGAAAGGGTGATCCAGAAAAACACTTATTCGGAGAAACTACCCCCAGGGAAGCCTCAGAACAAGGATGATTGGATGACAGGGGAAAGTGTAAGGAACAGTTAGAAAAGACCCCAAACTCTGGGGAGTCCTTATTAAGGAAAGTTAAGGGCAGAAAAAGATAAATCCTGGAAAATTCCACTGAGATGCCAACGGACCCAAACAGGTTAATTTCAGGGTGAAAATGTGAGTGGAGAAGGAAAGCGGAAGCTCCAACACAGGCCCAGTGTGTGCTGGTGGTGGGGTATGAGAGGTCGTAAAGGGATCGTCAACCATAGGGCAGGCTGGGCGAGTTGGCTGTGAGGAGGTCGCAAACCCAGGAAGGGCGTGAGGGAAGTAGAGGACAGGATGCAGTTCTGAAACCCAGCTAAATACGGCACGGGCAGGGGGCAAAAGCCGGGACAGCACCATGTCAGTACCTTTCTCTTACGGAGGGGCACCGCCTTGTTGGGGTCCATGGCCAACCCCATCTCGGCCAGGTTCTGCCGCACCGATTTGGCGTGGTCCCAGGCATGTCGGATGTGGGAGCTACAGGCAAAGAGAGGGAGATCGCGGAACCGTCATCTCGCCAGCAGTCCCGGCCGAGGCCCCCCGCCTCCCGAAACCCGGCCCCCTCACCACTCGATCCGCGGCGCTGCCTTCCGTCGAGCATTCCGGTTCAGACGCTTGCGGTTAACATTGTAACCGAACTTCTGCCTCCGGGTCTTCCCCTTAGCCTTGGGCATCGCGCTGACCACCGCACCGACAGCTCAGACTCGGCGCCTCTCAGCACCTCGTGCAGCTGACTCCTTCCGGCGGGCGCGCGCATGGCATCGCAGGCTTTCTGGGAAATGTAGTTCTCCCGGTAGCGATACCATGCTGATTACTACCATTCCCAGAATGCAGTGGGCGATTGAGCCTGCGTGTAATGCTCAGCAGATTCATTTACCCCGCCCCTTTCATGACCTCATCAGGAGGCGGAGTTCAGCGTCCCTGCTCTCTCCTACAGCTTTGCCCTGGCTATGGCGACCCCTGGCCCTGTGACTCCGGAGGCACCCTTTGAACCAACGCGGCCCCCAGTCATTGAGGGCTTTAGCCCCAGTGTCTACAGCACTCCGGAAAGCTTCAAGGAAAAGTTCCTTCGCAAGACCCGCGAGAACCCAATGGTACCCATAGGTAAGCTGGCGCTGTAGGAACTGTGGACGGAGAGGACAGCGCTGTGGGGAAATGAATTAGAGGAGGACGGGGGACACAGCGGGGACCGGAATGAGAGTGGACCAGAGATGTGACGAGGGGGCCGGACGGTGAGGGTGAACCTGCTTGGAGCAGGAGCAGGGCGGGATTGGGGGGCTGGGATGAAGCGGACTCGAACTTCGAGGACCCTGCCTCGACCAGCCCCTCGCACCTCGGCCCCACCCCCTGCGTCCTCCCCTCAGCTGCTGGTGGGAGATCTTGTCCCTGGGGAAGGCAGACCCAAAGCGGGAACGGGCCTCCAGGCCGAGCTGCCACTCCCCACCTGCTTTGTCCCCTCCTCAGGCTGCCTGGGCACGGCGGCCGCCCTCACCTACGGCCTCTACTGCTTCCACCGGGGTCAGAGCCAGCGCTCCCAGCTCATGATGCGCACCCGGATCGCCGCCCAGGGCTTCACGATCGCAGCCATCTTGCTGGGTCTGGCTGCATCTGCTATGAAGTCTCGACCCTGAGCCCGCAGCCTGGCCCTGAAAGCTCCGCGGAGTTATTTCCAGCCTCGGGAGCAACCACCGGTCCTGCCACAAAACTTATTCCCTCATACCCCTTGACAAGCCCCTGAGTCAGTGGGGGAGGAGGTGGCCAATCGTGTAACCGACAGACTTTTTCAGGACCCTCAGGTTTGGTTCACTTCCAGCGTTGTGAAGTGAACATACTTCTGTTTGTGCCGCACTTTCTCCACTCCTTACTTAATAAATTCTGATACACTTGTAGTTTGGTGAATGCATTCTCAGTCTCACCCTCAAGGTTTTTGGTCTTTGGTTTTAGGAGGAAACACACTGAAGACTGCAGGGGCCTTTAGAAATCATAGAGTCCAATGATTACCACACTTTTTTGGTAACAATCACCTGTGGCATTAGTTAAAAGTAGAGATTTCCTAGAGTGATGCTATTTGGAAAAAAACTGATCTTTCCAACAATTTTCAAACTTGCAGTAGGAAAACCTCCCTTCATGAGGCCTGCCATGGTCCTGTCAGATGCAGGAGGCTCTGCCCTCTGCTGTGCTGCTCCTCACCCCACTCCCACCTCCCGAGAGCACCTAAGGCTCCACTGATCCAGACCAGCCCCGCTTGGTTCTTGATGCATCTTACAGAACGGGAAACTGAGGCTCACACAAGCAGCCTGCTGTAGTGGAAAGAGCGTAGTCCCAAAGCTTGCCAGTGGTTTGTGTACCTAGTGTTTTAGGGTTAAGGAAGAAAGGAGGCTGGGGACCTGAGCAAACTCTAGAAGAGAAGCAACCTGTGAGTTTCTCCTACATGTAAAGTCTCAAACAGGTGTTCCTGGTGTATGGTCAGCTCTAAAGTGTTGATTCGGACCCGGGTTTCTTCCATGTGTGACTCCATCAGTTTCAACACCAGCTGCAAGCACCCACAAGGGAAAAGAGTGAAGAAGACACATCCACTTCCTGCGCCCCCCACACAGTCTAGATTTCTAAGTGGAGAAGTGTATGACTAGGGCCAGTTAAATTTCCTGCCCCCACCGTGGTCTCAGCTGTAAGGCAGAGGTTACAAGTGTAGAACAGTACATTGTGGTGACTTACCCTTGGCCTCAGGATTCAAGGAACAGATACGGAGTGCTGAGGACTATGGCATTTCTAAAGAGGAGGGCCACTATTTTTAACTGTTGGCATTATTGTGTCCCCCAAAAAAGATATGTTGAAGTCCTAACCTCAGTACCTCAAAATGTGACCTTATATATGACGAACCGCATATATGACAGTGGTCCCATAAGATTAGTACCATAAAGCCTAGGTGTATAGAAGGCTATACCATCTAGGTTTGTTAAGTACACTCTGATGTTCGCACAATGAGCAAATTACCTAACAAGGCATTTCTCAGAATGTATCCCGTCTTAAACAGTGCATGACTATAGAGTCTTTACAGAGGTAATCAAGTTAAAATAAGGTCATTCGAGTGGGCCCTAATCTCATATGACTGGTGTCCTTATAAACGGGAAATTTGGACACAAAGACATAGAGGGCAGGTGACGTGAAGATGCAGTCAGGATTGTAGTGATGCATCTACGAGCCAAGGAACACCGGAGGCTGCCAGAAGCTGGAAGAGAAGCGGCAACACATCCCTAGAGCCTGCAGAGGGAGCGCGGCCCTGCTAATACCTTCGTTTTGGACTCCTGACTTCCAGAAGGGTGCGACAAGACATTTATGTTGTTCTAAGCCAGACACTGTGGTACTTTGTTACAGCAGCTCTAGGAAACTAATACAGTTGGCAATTACTCAAATCTTTTTCAACAGTGTGCAGGTCACAGCCTTGAACACAGCCTGTTTGCAACCTCTGTTGAACAGGAAGAAGGTATGGTCACTGGTTGTTTATCCCAAATCCACAGAGGAGCACAGGTAAAGGAGGGGGCGAAATATGCGGAGCAGTGGGCCTTCCACATCCAGAGGGTCCTGGCCAATCCCAAGGAGGGGGTCTGACAAAGGCTACCTTCCCCAGCCTCTCACCCAGACTTAGAGGGAGCCACCACCGGGAACCTCTGGACTTGCCTCTTCCCTCCCACTTGAACCCTTACCCTCTGGGAGCCTTGGTGTCATTGGCTACATGATGAGAACAACAGAATCCCTATCACAGGCTTGCTCAAGGATCAGAAAGGATCAAGGCTGCAAAAGTATCCTGTGAGAGGTTGTCTTTCCTCCTGGGGTAGGGGCAGCAACATAGACAGGTTGGACATCCACTTTCAGCTAGGAGCTCCTGGGTTTCAGGGGAATAGCCTGACCTTCTCTCAAGGCCATGAAGCTGGGAAAGTTCTGAGCACAAACTGAGCCCTGACACCAGTTGTGGCCAGAGAAATGAGAATGATAATAAATAAGTGTAAAAAGAGTTAACAACACACCCTTTAAGCCAAGAAGAAAAAATACATCAAGAGGAACAGTCACAATTCTGTGGACTGAGAGGAGGTGTGAGGGGCTGGGCCACAGGGCCAGGAGGAAATGAGGGGTGAGGAGTGAGGGGTCCCCTTCCCAGCCCGGGAGGCGGGGAGGAACAGGATACGCTGTGTGTAGCAGCCGCTGAAGGCAGTTTCCACCCTGGCCGAAGCAGCTGCTCCCCCTCTGCCCGGCCCATGCTTTGTGGCCATGCTTTGTGGCAGGCACCTAGCGGGACAGCGGCGTCTGCTTCAGGGACATGAGCACCGAGCGCAGGCGAGACACATCTTTGCACTGCTTGCTGCTCTTGGGGTTGAAGTCACACAGCTGGGCCACCTTCTCCCACTCTGTGCCTGGGGTCTCCTCCTTGGATTCCTTCACAAAAGCCTCCTCAGATGCCCTGCGGGTGGAGATAGGACAGAGGTTTCATAGCTGTCTGCCTTTCCCCTGAATCAATGGTGCTCTGCCCTCATTGAGCAAGTGCTTTGCCCAACCTATTCTGGGGTACTTTGTCCAGAGGTCATCTCCCCAGCCCTGTGCCCTCTGACCTCAGGCCCCCAGGAACAGCTTTGGCCTCAGAAGCCTAGTTTGGTCATGCCCTAGGACCTTTGTACTTGCTGTGACCTCTTCCTGGAATGCTCTTCCTCCAGACCTGCTCATGGCTTGTTGCTTCTTGTCATTCAGGTCTGGGTGCAGGCCTCACATGCTCAGAAAGGTCTGCCCTTGCCACCTAGCTAATGTAGCCTCCTCCTCCACTCCTCTGCCCCAGCCTAGGCACTCTCTGCTCATTACCTCTCCATTGAGCGTTCCCCGCCCCGGGGCTTCTGACCCCTACAGGCCGTTGGAGGCACTAATGCAAGTACCTCAGCTCTTTTCAGTGTTTCCAAAAACTTAGTAGAGATAAGACAGTGACTGACCACCTAACTAACTCAAGTACCAGGTTTAGCATTGCTCAGTGTTCCATGGACACTTGTAAGTGTTTGCCAGAAAAGGGTTGTGGTCAAGTATGTATGGGAAACTCAGTTAAAGAGGATTTTCAAAGCAAGACTTTCAAAGCCTTTTAATGTGCTAACGGGCTTCACAAACCTCCAGGTGGAGTACGTGACGGTAGTGCATCTACCACATCCCAAGCACATTCGACTACAGAGCTCTTTCTAGCCCAGAATGACTACTATCTCCATGGAGCCACAGCTGGGGATGCTCCACTGGAATCTTTGCTTTTGGTTGAAATCAAGATAGGATGAAAACTCGTGGTTTCTTCATCGGAAGTTCTGGTTGACAGTTATAGAAGCCACTGATTAAGGAACAATGGAGAAACAAAGTGCAGTCAATACAGTGTAATGGACAAAGCCTAAACGTGGGAGTCATTAAGAGAAAGATGACAAAAGACTCTTAAGTGAGGAGGGCTGGCTCTATGTCGTGTTTGGCCAGTAAGTGTGTCTGGAAAGCCCCTTTCTCCTTGGAAGCCCCCTCTGCCTCTCGAGCAGGACCGGTTCTGCCACATGCCAGGCACTGGCTGATGGTGGGGAGCTCTCCAGGTGATCCCCTGGCATGGGCTGTGCCAAGGAGGAGGTGGCCCAGGATCAGATGACCTGGCCCCACTCGACTCAGTGATCTTGTTTAACTGCTGTGTGCTCATTTCCTAACCTGTAAAGTGAGGATCAGAGCTCCACCTCACTGATCTGTCTCATTGGCCTGAGGATCTAACGAAGTGGCAGGTGTGTGCAGGCTTGGAAAGATGCAAAGTGCTGTGTGGAGTTGGACATGAGGGGGCTGAGGGGAGCTATCCTAGGGGCTGTCCCTTCAAGGTCAAGAGGCTGCCCTCTAACCTTGCTGCTTAACATGTGGTGTGCGGTCCAGCAGCATCGGCATCACCATGGAGCTTGTTGGAAACGCAGAATCATGGCCTCACCTCGTCCTACTGAATCAGGATCTGTATTTTAACACGATCCCCTGGTGATTCACAGGCACATGGAAGTGTGAGAAGCACTGGTCTAGACTCTCCCTCTCTTCAGGACTCCCTTGGGTGCTTCTTGGGCCATTTCCTCAGGCACAGCAGGAGCATTGAACCCCCTGCGGTATTCCCCAGCACCAAGGCCCCTCTGCCATCCCCTCTCTCCGCTCAAAGGATCCTAAGGCTCCCCACTGCCTTCAGGATCAAGTCCAAGCTCCTTAGCCTGAAACAACAGGCACTGTGCAACTGGCCCCAAGCGGCCCTTCTCCTAGCCTCTGCTCCCGCCCATGCCCACTGCTGCAGGCAGCTAGGTATTTCCTCTCTCATTGCCTTTGCCCCAGCTGCTTCTCCCACCGAGGTTGCCCTTCTCCTCTTCTCACTCTCCCACCCTGCACATTCCTTCTCACACTTGAAGGTCCAGCTGAAGGTCTCGTTCTCTGAAGCCTGTCCTGACTCCCCCAGTATGGGGTGGCTTCCAGGGCTCGGTGTGTCCTTCCACGTGGCTCTTATCACAAGATGCTCCCGACCATGAGCAACTTGGGGGGATGGTCTGTGTGTCTCATTCCTGTTTGATCAGAGACTGGCATTGGGTAAGTACCAGTAAGGACTGGACAGTTGGGAGGGTGGAAGGGAGGAAGGAGCGGAAGACTCTCGTGTGTCCTGTGCTCAGTGAGAGTAGGGTTAGCCCGGACAGCATCAGAGGCCCGCCGCAGGCGTGCCCAGAGCGAGAAACAGCAAATATTTGGCACACGCTCACGTGGCAGACATCACACCTTCATCACTGCATTTTTCCTTCAGCTTCACAATCTCCAACACACCCTCCAGGCTGTCCCTACCAATAAATTGGGGCAGCATGAGAGGAAACCTCTGCCATCTCAGATCTAGACCCCAAACCAGGAACATGTGAGAGGGGCCATGGTGGTCTGGGCAGAGGCTCGTGGCCACACTCGTGCTGGAGCTCCAAGGAGGAGCAGTGCACCTGGTGCAGGAGGAGGGGATGGGTGTGCACTCGGGAGCATCTCTTCTTTATAGCTCCAGCATCCGGCACTCAATCTTTGTTTTGTTCAACAGAAGACCCCCCCCCCCGCCCATCCCTCACCCCCAAGAGGCATCTTGGAGGGAGGGAGTCCGGCTGCTTGGCCATTTGCTCCTCCCACCAGGGGATGGCCAGTGCATTCTTTCCTTTTCTCTGCCTTGATTTAGCAAAGCTACCTCCAGGCAGAGTAGATGCTCATAAACATTTGCTAGAGGGGTGGAGGTGAAAGTTGTTGCCTGCACCTGTCCTAGGGGGTCACCTCCTGCTCTGATCACCTCCTGCTTGCCCTCAGCCAAGCCACAGTCATTTATACCCCACCAGCAAGAGACTCAAGAAACTGTGCCAGCCACACACAGGGGCCCTTGCCCTCTCCAGCTCCCTCTACAGAGGGGCAAAGGAGACACGTACACGTAGCCGATGATATCAGCATCTGGCTGCTGGTAGAATGCTTTGTCAGCGATCCTTGAGGGGAAGGGGTTAGGAGGGGGAAGACAGGATGGCAAGACAGACAGACAGGCAGAGGGTTAAAGAGAAAGAGAGAGAGCGTTAGTACCTCCAGTTGGAGAAGAGTTAGGAAGCACAGTTCTGGAAGGCTTGGCAACTCTCCACAGCCCAGCGAGGAGAGTGGGGACCCTCCACTCGCAGGAATGCCTTTTCTAAAACTCAACCCTATTGTATTACTCCTCCTATTCACAAACCTTCAATGGCTCCCTATCACCTGTGTCTGCCCAACACTGGCATTGGAGGCCCTGCACATGTGACCCCTCATTCCTGCCCTCTCTCCTACCACTCCCTGATTCCCTGGTGCCCAGGACATGATGGCCTTTCTTTCATATCATGCTGTTCTCTGGTCTAGAATACCCTTCCCAACCCCTGCCCTCTTTCTCATGATGAACTCCTAGTCATCCTCCAAAGCCCAGGTCCCAGAGAGGGAGGTCCCTCCCCTACCCACATCCCTTGCTTCCATGGCCTTCCTGCAGAAGGCCCTACTGTTGAGTTCAGCTGTACACGTGTGTTTCTCTCCTCTGAGCTCTTTGAGGACGCAGACTGGGTCCTTCTCATCTCTGTCTCCCCAGTGCCCAGCCCAGAGCCTGGCAAGCAGCAGCTTCTTGGATGGAAGTATGGTGGCTTCCCAGAGCCAGCCTTTCCCTTCCTGGCAGGCCTAGTACTTGAAGGGCACAGCCTCAAAGACAGGGGCTGTCGGGTAGTGTCTAGTCTGAGACCTTTTCTGCAAAGGTGTTCTCTGGTGGGCATCCACCATCTTTGCCTGCCCAGCATCTATCCCCCTTCTTCCAGGAAGGGCACCCTGATTGTCCTTTGAAGGATAAGACTGCTCCCACTCAGTCCTGGTGGTTTGGGTGGGACTGGACCCCATGCACAACCCAAGGAATGGGATTATTGCCCAGGCTGGGTCCATCGGAGGAGAGGCCCTTCTTCTGTGACAGTCACTGGGCTTGGAATGGGTGCATGACCCATGCCAGACCAATGAGGGTCAGGTCAAGGACTTCGGCTGGAGCTATTGAGAGCAAAAGGCTATTTTCGCTGAGGTTGCCAAGAGAACAGAGCAGAAGCCTGGGGCTCCTGGCCCCTGTCCCAGGATGTGGGCCATCTTTGCCCACATCCCAGGGACATCATAGAGGAAAGCAGCTGAGAGACAGTAAAAGGGAGTGCCAACTGACTTCATTTCAGCCCCTGAGCGCACTGTGCCTGCAGTCCTACCCCTGGCCTTTTCAGCTATACAGGTCACTAATTTCCTTTTATTCTCTAGCCACTCTGGGTCGAAGGGTTGTCATTTCTACAGGCAATAAAATCCTGTACACAGGTTGGTTCTTCACTCCTAGCCAGGCCTGTGCTCTCTGTAACACTAACCGTGGCCTAGCTGTTGGCCCCTGGGCCCCAGGACAGCCTGGCTCACATTCCAGTAGGTCCTGGAGGCTCTTCTGCTGACTGACAACTTGCTTTTCTCTGTCATGGTGAGGAGATGAGAGCTTAACAGTGTTCCCGCTCTTCAGAGTTCAGGGCTCGGAACTCCACAGGCAACCAAGGAAGCAGCCCTGGAGTTTCAGCTTCTCCTCCCCCCATGTTCTTGCCACCAAATCACCCTTCCTCGAGAGTCCCCATACTATAGTTCCTCTCAGTGTCCCGATGGCTTCCTCAAGTCCCCATAGCCTTCTCATATTCCCACAGCTCCCTCATGTTCCCATAGCCCTTCATGTCCCCACAGTCCCCTCATGTCCCCATAGTCCCCTCATGTCCTCATAGTCCTCTCATGTCCTCATAGTCCTCTTATGTCCCCACAGCCCCCTCATATCCCCACAGCCCCCTCATGTGCCCATAGCTCCCTCATGTCCCCATATCTCCTTCATGTCCCCATAGTCCTGTCATGTCCCCATAGCTCCTCTCTTGTCCCCACAGCTCCCTCATGTCCCCACAGCCCCCTCATGCGCCCATAGCTCCCTCATGTTCCCATAGTCCTCTCATGTGCCCATAGCTCCTCTCGTGTGCCCATAGCTCCTCTCGTGTGCCCATAGCTCCTCTTGTGTTCCCACAGTCCTCTCATGTGCCCATAGTCCTCTCATGTGCCCATAGTCCTCTCATGTCCCCATAGCTCCCTCATGTCCCCATATCTCCCTCATGTCCCCATAGTCCTCTCATGTCCTCATAATCCTCTCATGTCTCCACGGCCCCCTCATGTGCCCATAGCTCCCTCATGTCCCCACTGCCCCCTTATGTCCCCATAGCTCCTCTCACCGGTTGTTGATCTTGTTCTTCTCAACTTGTTCACTCTGGCGCTGGTTCCACTCCTCCAGGTCCTTCTTGGCCTTCTCCCGCCACTCCTGTTCCATCACCTTGGAGGCAGCATCTGTGACCCCAACAGGAGAATGAGTGGCAGCTTTCCCGTAGGGATGTGAGGGCATGGCTGCCCTGGCTGCTTCTCCCCTTGGCCCTGGCAGGCAGCCCCAGGGCCCACCCTCACCCACTGCTACATTAAGGCAGTGCGGGGCCCCACACACCCTAAGGCTTCCCGACCACCCTACCATGTCCCAAACAGTCAACCTAGCTGGGAGCCTGGGGAAGTGGGGGAGGACCGCAGCCAGCTCCAAGCCCCAGCCCTGCCCTCACCCAGCTCTTGCAGCCGTTTCTTCTGCTCCTCCCTCCATTTGCGGATGCTCTCAGGTTCCTGTGTCAGCCTGTCAGCCTGGGCAATCGCAGCGTAGCTGTCGGCTGGACCGTTAGCCTCCTAGGATACAAACACACAGCCATGTGCCCAGCTGTCCACCTGCCCTGCTGTCTCTGACGCCCCAGTACCAGGACACCCCTCACATCTCAGACAACCTCACACCCACTGTCTCTTATGACTGTACCCTGCCTTTGCACTTGTTGTGCCCTCTGCCAACAACTCTTCCCCCATGTGGCCCTGGGCAAGTTACTCAACCTCTCCATGCCTCACTTCCCTCATCATGAAATGGGCTAAATAACAGTGCCCACTCATAGGGTTAACGTACGGATGAAATGAGTTAAAAATGGAAAAAACTTCAACACTTCTTGGCACCAGTGAGTCCCTTGTGTTAGTATCATTCAAGTCACTCTCTATTACAGTTTTATTTACCCAATAACACTTACACAGTCCGATAGACCTCATTTTATAATATGTTTACTTGTCCATTGTCTGTCTCCTCCATCAGAATGTCACCCTCATCACAGCAGGGACCTTGTCTGTCCTGTTCACTGCAGTGTCCCCAGTGCCCAGCACAGTGCCTTGCACCCAGCAGATGCCCGATGAATACTTGCTAAGTGAACCAGCAGCCCTGAGACAGGCAGGATGGCCATGGCTAGGACTGCGCAGTGGTGAAAAACATGGATTCTGCAGCCAGACTGTCTGGGTTCAAATCCCATCTCTACTGCTTACGATAATGCGTGTGGCCATAGCAAGTTGCTTAACCTTGCTGGGCCTCAGTTTTCTCATCTGAAAATGGGATTAATAATAAAACTGCTTCTAAGAGCTGTTGTGAGGATTTGATGCAACAATATTCGTAAGACATTTAGAAGAGTGCCCGACATGGAGTGATGGCTCAGTGAATGGCAGCTAGAATTATTATTATTTCATTCCCATTTTATAGGGGAGGAACCTGAGGCCAGGAGAGATGGCATGACGTAGTGGCAGAGCCAAGGCCACAGTCCAGGCCTCTGACTTCCAGGCCGGGGCTCTGCCCACTTCTCCACACCGCCTGCCAGAGCCGGGGACCTGAAGTGCTGGGGGCTGAGGGTTAGCCCAGCAAGGATGCGGCTCCCCTCTGGTCTCACAAAGCCAGAAACCTTTGAGGACCCAGCCCCATCTGCTGCCACTCCCGCTCTGGGCCTCAGCACGCCCTAGCATTCATGTCTGCACACGTCCTACCACTCACGCTGCCCCACCTCGTCTCCTCCTGCTGTCAGCCTACATTGTCTCCCTCCCTTCTCTAGCTGATGAAATCTTACTCCATCCCATGAGTTTCCAGCTCAAAAGTCACCAGCTCTGGGATATTTCCCAACCCCCAAGCAGACTTCACACCCCGTGTTCCTCGTCACGGCCTTCCCCCCGTACTGTGTGAGTCCCCCGCTGGGCCACGAGCTCCCGGGGGCAGGGCAGGCCCTTGTATATGCCTCTGAACCCTGTTCCATCCTTTCACTGCTCCCCATGCTCCTCCTTCAGCACTCATCAAAACCGTCACGAATACTGACGTTTGACGTCTTCTCCCCATGGGACAGTGTCTGGCACGCCCTCTGTCCGGTGGTGCTGCCCACTGCCTTAGCAGACAGTCGGTGCTTAGTAAGCAGGGGCTGCATGCATGAAGATCCTCGGAGCCAGCATGTGCCCAGGTCAGAGGAGGCACTGGGTCAGTGTTTGCCCAAAGGGCTGTGAGCAGCAGGGTAACGGAGCACGCGATGGAGCATCAGGGCTGCAGGCTCCAGCCATCTGCAGGGAGAGGCAAGGGCAGGCCCAGGGCGCGGTGGTGCACCCGGGCACCTTGGCTCAGGCCCATCCTCGGGTGGGGCAGTTGGGGCGCTGCCCTTTTTCCTCTTTCCTGCACTGCATTCCACTTCAATTTGGCGAGTCTCTCACCGCATCCAAGGGGCCTTTCCAGGGCCCTAGTCCGGAGAACACAAATTGACCACTGCTGTGGGGTGAGGCCCACCCTGTCCACTTCTGGGAACAACCTGTCCTGGGGCCAGGCTTCCAGGACCCCTGCACAATCCCACAGAAGTCCCCTCTGCAGACAGCTACAGTAACTTTTGTGTACATGTGTTGATCCTGGTGCTAGACTTTATGCTTTTCATGGCACTTACCACTATCTGAAATGACTGGTTTGTTTATGTGTTTACTATCTGTCTCCTCCCTCCAAGCAAGTAAGCTGCATGAGGACAGAGACTGCCTGTCTCTGTATAGTACCGAGAACAGGGAGGGCCTGGCTGTGGGAGGATTTCAAGAATATTTATTGAATGAATTAACAGATGTTCAGGCTTGGGGACAGGGATGAACAAGACAGCGTATCATCAGGGAGCTTGGCAGGGAGAGTCCCTCACAAATGAGGACCCTGGCTAGGGTACGCACTGTAACGCAGGTCAGGGAAAGAGGCAGGACAAGGGAGGGCACAACCATTCTAGCCTGGGGGCAGAGTAGGGTGGGAAGAGGTGGGGAAAGGGCGCTTCAGATCAACAGCTGGCAGCATAAGGACCATGCGGGGCCGGTACCTTCGGGAAACTCTAAGTACAGAGATGCTACCAGGTGGGGAGGAGATGTGGGGGGAGAGGTGGGCTGGAGAAGGGTCCTCTGGGCAGGAGTCTCATCCCACAGTGTCCTTTAGGGCTCACTGTCTCCATAAAGCCTGCCCTAAGAGTAAGACTCAAAAGTTATAGTGCTTTAAAACTTGCAGAGAACTTGCAATTGAATGGTTCTCTTTGGTCTTTATAACCCTATATGGCAGGTTTTACTATCTTTGTTTTACAGGTAGGGAAAGTCAAGCTCCAAAGTCCCAAGGTCACCCAGTCAGGAACTGGCCGAGCCAGGACTCCAATGGAATTGCTGCATGTGAACATACTGGCCATATAGTAGCCAATAGGGACCAAAGTCACTTCTGTGTCACATGATTTGGGCGCGGACTTTTTGCCTCCCTGATAAGTCTACCTTCCCAAGATGAGAGACTGTGCCGACCTCCCATCCCCCACACCCCGTCCCCCACACCCCGTCCCCCATCTCTCTCTCTCACACCCACACACGTACCACCCCTCGGCTCACTTAGTGGCTAGGCCAGGACTTTATAAGAAGATTCCTGGGCTGCAGAGTACTTTTCTCAACAGACCCATGGGGGCAGCAGGGCAGGGCCTCCAATCCCCATTTGACAAATGAGAAGTCCGGCTCAAAGCAGTGACTAGTCCAGGGTCGTCTGGCTGGGCAAAGCCAGCAATGAAACCCAGGTTGTCTGATTCCACCCAAACTCTTCCGCCACACCCCTCACAGTGCCCCAGTCTGGGTGTAGAAACAGCCTTGAGGACCCGCTCGGACCCCCGGTGCTTCTCTTTGCCTCTGGAGCAGCTGCACTGCACATCCAGGGGCACCACTCAGTGTGTTCGAAGCATGTTGTGCCTGGAGGTGGCCATGCCCCAGGCCCCAGGCCCTGGCCAAGCTGGGCCCACCTCCTCTGCCACTTGTCCACCAGCAGCTCGGCCCACTAATGCACTCTGGCTGGGAGCTGTGCCCACCCCCCGAGTCCTGCCTGCAGGCATACCAGCCCTGCACCTTCGGCCCCCCCCCCCCCCCCCCCCGCCCCGCACAGCCCTCTCTGCAGCAGGCTCCAGGGTCCAAGCAAGCCCCAGACTGAGTGTCTTACCCTCAGTGCCTTTGCACGTGCTGTCCCCTCAGCCAGGACCACCCACATCCCCCTGGGCAGCCTGGAAACCCACTTTCAGCATCCCTCCCCTTGCATTCCCCCACTTCAGTGCAGCATCTGGCGCCTGGGCCTGGTTCAGGTCCCAGCTCTTTCCAGCTGTGTAACCAAAGCGAGCTATCAAACTGCCATGTTGGTCCTCCTCTTGGCCTGTAAAATGGGGATAATGACAGAACCTATGTCGTAGGGGTGTTGGGAGGATGAAATGAGCTAACACGTGTAAAGCTCTCGGGTGGCGCCTAACACATAGTGAGAAGTCAGACTCCGAGCTCTTAATACTCCCCCATATCCGAGCCTTGCCATCCTGCTACCATCACGTCTTTTTTTTTTGGTGAGGAAGATTAGCCCTGAGCTAACATCTGTTGCCAATCCTTCTCTTTTTGCTGAGGAAGATTGTCCCTGAGCTAACATCCGTGCCCATCTTCCTCTACTTTATATGTGGGACGCCGCCACAGCGTGGCTTGACAAGCTGTGTGTAGGTCCAGGCCGAGGATCCAAACCTGTGAACCGGGCCGCCAAAGTGGAGTGCGCAAACTTAACCACTACGCCACTGGGCCAGCCCCTGCCATCACTTCTTTCCAGGTCTCTGTCCTCTATTAGAAGCAACCTCTTCGAGGACAAACTCATTGGATTTGCCTCTACATCCACTGCCCCGAGGCCAGTGCACAGCACTCAGAGAATGTGAGTTGACTGAATGAAGGAAAGAGTGGCTGCCTGCAATGTGATGTGGAGGGCGCAGGGACAGCTTGGGACACAGGGACTGGGCTTTGAGTCCCCTTCTGCCACTCACTAGATGTGTGACCTTTGAGAAGTCCCTTCCCTGGAGTCCTGTTAAATGGGAGTGACAACATCCCACTCAGGGTGTGAAGTGGGGCCCACGTGCGCTAACTGCCGCGGAAGCCCTGCAGCCTGCAGAGGATGTGCACAGGGGAGGGCCGGCAGGGCGGCGGGGCTCACTGTTGCCGCATGGTAGGCCCAGTGCCCACCGGCCCACGTTGCACCACATCCAGGAAGAGCACAGTGGTGTTGCTGGTGTGCTGAGCCTGAGAAGAGGTTTGCTGGCTCCTCTCCTCCCGCCGCTCTGGACTTATTTTCCCGCCCCTGTCAGTGAGCAGTGGGGTTGGGGGCCACGGCAGGGCTCCTCTTTAATCACTCGAGTGTCCCAGTGAGGAAATTGGGTCAGCTGCCAGGAAAGCAGGCAGCCCAGCAGGGCTCACCAGCGGCTGCAGGAGCCCTCTGAGCCCCTGCCAAGATGGAGAGTGAAGGGGTCGGGAATGGCCAGAACCAAAAGGCAGGAGGCTACAGTCAGAGCCAGGCTTACCTTTGTCCAGCTGCCCAGCAGCCCTCTCCTGCGGCACCCCTCTGCTGGACACCACCATGAGAACCCCCATGGGCCATGCTGGCTGAGCGGCTGCTGTGACTCTGGGCACAGCCAGGAGGATGAGGCATATCCTTCTTCAGAATTGGCCAGCTAAAGCTAAGCTAAGCTGAGCCGTTGATTCCTCTAAGTAGCTCAAAGGGGGATGATGGGGATGCGTGGAGGAGGGAGAGAGAGTTTGTGCAGGGGGAGGGAGTCCTGCGGGGGGCCTCCTATCCCTGCCCCTGGCTGTGCGGGATGGAACTGGAGGAGGTGTGGGTAGGCTTATCCTTAGGGCTAGGTGGGGATCAGGTTCCTAGCTGGACCCCCTAGTGGCCCACAGGCTTCCGGAAAAGAGTAAGAAATGTAGCAAGAAAGCCCTGCCCAGGACCCTTGAAAGTGTTGGTTCTGCACAAACAAGGCTTCTCCCCTGCAGTGCAAGCCAGAGCCTGCTCCCTGTTTAGTCCTCGAGGAAGTCTGGGGGGCCTTCCACCTGCGACCCGGCCAGCCCGGCCCAGCCACGAGTCGGTGGTACAAAGAGCACCGGTCAGGGCAGGAGATCAAGGTGAGCCCAGCTTTGCCACCATGCTTCTGACTGACTCGCCTCATCTGTGACCCTCCCATGCCTGCAGGGATTCTAGGATGGCACGGATATGAAACGATTTACAAATAAACACCCGGCGGTTTTATTCGTAGTGGTGAGAATAAGAGTTCCCACTGAGATTAGGAAGGAGGCCCAGGGTTCCCCATGTCCACCATTTAAATACAAAGCGAGGCTGGGGGGGTCGGGAGGCAGAAGGCCACAGGATCCTAATCTATAGAAAGAGAAAACTATCCTGCTCCTAGTGTTCCAGGTACTTCTGTGGTTCCGATTGTACCTCCAGCTCCAGGTCCACTTTAGGACTCAGACCTTTGGGTCAAGTGAAGTCCTTGTGAGTGTGCCAGTGCGGGGCAGCCTGCGTCTCAACGCTGTGCCCGCTGCAGCGCAGTAAACGCTGCTTATTCGGCACGGTCAGGCCCAGGGAGACACGAAGCTCTTCAAGTCCTAGAGACTGACTTTTCTAGCCTGCTAACAGTTGAGCAATTTTCCAGAAATGGGACTTGGCCCGTTTCCCTGTCTAAGGTACCAGCCCAACCCTCTTACATAAGGAAGTATTGTTTATTCTCCTCCAGGATTCAGGGGGGCAGCTTCTCAACGGGGTGGAGCTCAGGAGATCCCGTGGCTGCAGCCCCAGCGTCAAGGGTCTCTGGCCAAGTGCAGGGGAAATCAAGGCTCATCCAGCGAAGCCTTTGCCCCACCCAGGCATCTGAGGGTGGGGTGGTGAGGACTGTTGCATCTGTGGGGTCCTGGGCATGCCACTGTGGTCCAAGTTCTCTCCATGTAAGTACTTTGAAACTGATTTGTATATATATGAGAGGGGAGGGCTTAGGTAGGGACAGAGAGAGGCAGTCTTGAACTAGAAATATCTTGACTAGGTGCTTTTTGCTTTCTGTGTGTGTGTGTGTGTGTGTGTGTGTGTGTGTGTGTGTGGTGTAAGATCACTATAAAGAATTTTAAAGCAATCCAGTGAAAGTGAAAGCCCCATTCTCACCGCCCTAACACTGTTAACAGTTGGTGCACACCCTCTCAGATATTTATATTTCTAAAATAAAAAACAGGACCATACTGTGCATATTATTCTGCAAGCTGCTTTTCCACTTAATATATTGTGGGCATCTTTTCATGTCAATACAGAAAGCTCTGATTGCTCTTTTTAACAACACCATGGTTTTCTAATCTACCTATCCAGGCCCCCAATGTTGGACACCTAGGTTGTTTCCAGTTTGCCTGCTGTTATAAATTATCCTGCAAAGAATCTGGCTGTCCTTGTCCAGTTATTCCCTTAGGAAAATTCCGAGATGTGGAATCTCTGGATCAAAGGCCTGCCCCGTTAAAATGCTCATACATGTCAGCGATGGCCGCTCAGTTCAGCCTTCCACCGGTGGCACACACGTGTGCAGAGCGACGTGTTTCCTCCAGCCCATGCCACTGTGGGCCACTTGATCTCTCCCTCCTGAGGCCGGACATCACCGTGGGCAACCTGAGGCCACACCCCATAAACCCATGTGGATGGTCCTTATTCTTCATCCCCTTCTCCCACATGACAAAAAAACCATGTCAAAACTTTCACTATATTCCCATCCCAATGCATCAGACATGATGAAGAGAAGAATTTGGAGCCCTAATCCTACCAATGATGGGGCCACAAGTTACTGAGACCCAGGCTGTTGGTCCCCACCCCATTCTAAGACAGAATCTTGCTTACCTGAAACACATCTCCATTGATCGTGGTCCCCAGGTCATCAGAACCAGCTAGAAAGAGAACAAGGAGACAGCATTACTCATGGCTCAGCTTACAGCAAGCACACAATGGTCCTACATTAGCTCCCCGAGCCAACTTTTGTATACAACACATGTGTATTGATCCCACACATGTAGACAGATGGATACATAAATAACTTGGGCTCGGGCCGGCCCCATGGCTTAGCTGTTAAGTGCGCGCTCCACAACTGGCGGCCCGGGTTCGGATCCCAGGCGCGCACCGACGCACCACTTCTCCAGCCACGCTGAGGCCACGTCCCACATACAGCAACTAGAAGGATGTGCAACTATGACATACAACTATCTACTGGGGCTTTGGGGGAAAAAAGAAAATAACTTGGGCTCTATCCTTGACTGTTCACAAAGCCTTCTCACAGCCCTTATCACATTTAATTTTCACCACAGCCTTGTGATGAAGCTGTTATCAGCCCATTTTACAGATTCTCAAACTGAGGCTCAGTGGGGCTATGTGATTGCCCAAGATCACCTAGCCAGCAATAGCTCCTCACCTACCTGAAATTAATTGACCCTCAGCTGTGGCTGGGAACGGCCTGACTGTCTGGGGAGCCTTGCCTGGTGCGCAGGCAGAGGCTCTGCAGGCTCAGGGCGGGGTCTGCAAGGGCTAAGGACGAGGGGACTGCTCGTCTCTGCCTGTCCCTGTGGCGCCTTGAGCAATCGCTCCATCCGGGAGAGCAGGAACCTCAGCCCCCACCAGGCAGCACCTGGCCTATTTTTCCTCCTTCTGCCCCTCCCAGAAGGATTTGATTTTGCCCTCAACAATGACTTCTCTTGGTCCATTTCCCTGACATCTGTTAGTAACAAATTGCTGTGGCTTCTGCTGCGACAATGACCCTCAAAGTTGCCCTTTGCTCTCTGCCCCCTGCCCGCCCCCCTCGCCCCCCCAACCTCTGCTTTTCTCTGTCTGCCCTGCCAGTGGCAAACACCTGGAGGGGCACACCTGTGTCCTTTCTCTCACCACTGCCGTCCTAGAGCCTTGCATGGTACCTGCGACTTAGTAAGAGCTAGAAACTATTTGTTGAATAAACAAACGAATAAATGCATGAAAGAAAGAAAGAGTGAATGAGTGGCTTTTGTCCACTCATAGGCCTCCCTGACTGCAGCTTCACCCTCTCCCAACCCTCTTTCAAACCAACTGCCAGGACTGACATTTTGGAAAGCATACACTTACCTATGTCCCTCCTCTGATTAAAAATGTAATGAAAACAAAACAGAAAGAGATCCACTGCGCTTGGAGCCCAGCGGCGTATAGGGCCTGCTCCTGCCTCGGGGCCTTGGCAGGTGCTGTTCCCTCCGCCTGGAAGGCCGTCCGACCTGTCTCCCCGTGGGCTGTTCCTGCACTCCCTTTGGCCTCTGCTCAAACGCTGCCTTATTAGAGGCCTTCCCAGCCCCCCGACATTGTCCCCTCGGCACCCCGTCCTCCCCTAGCTGTGTTTTCCCCATATAACTTCCCACAGCCTGATGTGTTCATCGTGTGTGTGTTTATGATCCGTCCCCCCGGCTTGAATGGACCCTTCCTGAGGGCAGGGTGTCTGTTTGGTCCACTGCTGGGACCCAGCTCCTAGAACAGTGCCTGGCACGGAACAGGGACTGAATGAGTATTTGCCAACTGAGTACATCAAACTCTGGAGCACAGCACAGGAGGACCTTTACAACCCGGCCCTGCCCATTTTTCCACCTCGCGGCCCACCAGTCCCTCCCATAGACCCTAAATTCTAGTCTCCTCCTTCCCCAAACACACCACTCCGCACCCCACGCCTTTCTTCCTGCTCCCCTTTCTACAGAATGCTCTTTTGGATCCAGTTGTTCTCCAAGGCCCAGTCCACACATCACCTCCTCTGGGAAGCCCTCCACTACTTCCCCTACTTCCCTAGGTGCTGATGGAAGGTCTCACGTCTGGGGTATCCCACAATATCATTCCCCATCCTCTTATGCAATCACTCGTGACCTCGCAGGGGTCATGCACTGCCTTCCTAGACTCTGTATCTCATGCAGTTCCTAAGGGCTCCTGCACAGAACGGGTGAGCAGCAAGCATGGGCTAAACGGAAGTTGCATTGCTCTTTGGGGACCCACTGTTATCTGCAGGGCCTGTCTAAGGGCTCCGAAAACTGCAATGCCTTCTAGCAAAGAGCTGCAGGAGGCCACACGAGACTACCACAGATGGACAGCCCTTACCAGCCAGATAAAGCTGTGAGCAGCAGTGACAGTGCTTTCAGCCTGGGGACTGAAGGGAGGGATGCTTAATCGCATGGAAATAATCCCAGGTCGATATAAATTACAATCGACTTTGTTTTCAGAGTCAAACAGCGATAGATTCTGACCAACCATGTCAGCTGTCATCCCTACTCACTCAGATAGGGCTTCTCCTGCATAGGGGGCCTGGTCCCTAAACTAGGGTGAGGCTCATGCGGTTTCAGCGGCAGCATCTTCTGCAAAGGGGCTTCTTCTCCTGGGGCATCTCCTCTACCAGGGCCCATTCACAATGATGCTGGTCTGTACGCGGAGCCTTTCTGGAGCAGAAGTTGCACCACCCCACTCCACCCTGACCAGTCCCAGTCTCAGGCCCCTTGTCCGCAGGCAGCTGCCCAGTGCCCACTCTGGCCTTTGGAAAGACTCTCTGCCCCTGTCTCTCAGCCTCGTGAGTGTTCCTTTGGGGATGAAGTCTCAGCCCCTTTGACGATACACACACACCCCCACACAGAATCCTGAGGCTCTGTCCCCACAATGCTCTCCGATTAGGCTACTGCACATCTATAATCGTGTGTCCACAGTCAGAGGCTGGCAGAACAAGCACACAGCAGACACGAGTCCCAGGGATAACTCCGGGGGTGTTGCTTCCCTCAGATTCCTGACCCCTTTTGGAACAGGGGCAGGTAAGGTCCAGAACATTCCTGGGAGCTTACCGAGGCCCAGCAGGGGAAATGGGCTTGCCAGGAACTGACTGGGCAAGTCAGGGGCAGAGCCAGGCCAAGCACTCAGCAATCTGGGTGTGAAAATGTAAACTTTCTGGGCCCTACCCAAGGCTGATGAATGGAAACAAAGTGTCCGTTGCTCAGGCTGGCCACAGATCCAGCCCCCAGAGAGACTCAGTGTGGCTCAGGCTCAGGCCTACACCAGACACCTCTCTCCCCATGAGTACCTGGGGGCCCAGTGCCAGGGCTCTCAGCACAGGGGCTTCATCTTAGAGACAGACTCAGAGGTGTTGATTGGCAGCAGCAGCAGAAACAGCTCCCGCCCAGCTCCCAGCAGGCCTAGGCACTTTTCTCCTCCCATCCGGGCTTCTGGCACTCACAGCTGGTCAAGTGGATACTTGCTCAGGACCATCTAGGCCTAGGAGGGTCAGGTCAATTCCGTCCTGTGTGGCCACCAGTTGAGCTGCCCTCCCGCAGGACCGCCCTGCTCCCCACGCCCCACTTAGAAGGGCAGCCGAGCACGTGCAGCTTCAGTGGGTGTGGGTCTGGGAGACCCTGCTTCTCTTCCGGCCACCTCAGGTCTGGGGCCAATCTGTGCCCAATCCCTGCCAGAGAAGGAAACTTGCATCCAGGCTGTAAGCCCCAGGAGCCCCACTGTCCTGGGAGAGGCCACAACCTGCTCAACTCCCAGACACTTCTGCGTTCTCATCTGCGTTCTACCCACCCTTCTCTCTCAGGGGGTTCTGACATGGGCTTTTATCAGCAGGGCCTCCCCCTGGCCACCCGGACTGGGGAAGATGGTCGTCTCAAGGAGGAGGTGTGGACAAATTAATACTGGTGCATGAACATGTGCAGGCATTTCCTAGGAATTCCCTGGGATGCGTGAGGGTCTGTGCTGAGGGGCTAGAGCTGCTGCTTCAGAAGACCTCCACTGCTGGCTTGGCTGGGTAGCAAGAGACCCCCCCATCACCCCAACATCCCATCACCTCCCAGCGTGACTGCCACAGCATTTGAAAGAGCATGGAGCCCAGAGTTGGGAGGTCTGGGATCAAGTCCCAGATCTGTCTCTCATGGCTGTGTGACTTTGGGCAAGATATTCAGGTTCTCTGGGCCTCCAGTTCCTTATATGTTACAAAAGACTTGTTACATTTCTCATATCAAGGCGATACAGAGATGCTTCAAACTCCTCAAGCCATAAGAACTGTCTTATCCATTTCTGTATCCCCAGTGGGCCTGGCGCACAGTAGGTGTTCAGTTAAAGTTGAATGCATACAAATATGACTATAAGGAGCCTTATTTATAAGTATCTTTTTTTAAATACATGAGCTACCACTTATTCCAACAGGCCTATAAGCCCCCAGCAAAATGACAACATTAGCAGGAAGCAAGGGCTGTTGTGGATGCACCCATGAAGGTGATTTCTCCTTTTTTTACTAAATATTTTAAGAAATTGTTCTTTCAAGGCAGAACCAGAGCAGGAACATCACTGATAAACATGCTGTCGCAGAGATCAGACCCTGAACCCTGAGTCTGAAGCCAACCACGATAGCTCTGGACCACCTTTGGGAAACCATTAACCGACGGTTTCAAGCCCCGAGGAGGACAGGACCACATCTGACTGAAGCTCTTTGTGGCCCTGCCCCCACCCTGGCTGTGAACTCAGAGCCAGGCAGATGGAAGGCAGTGTGGTCAGGTGGAGAGGGCTTAGAGTCTGCCAGAAACAGGTTTAAATCCCTCCTCTGCCACTTACTAGTTGTTTCAATGGTGTACCTTTTGAGCCTTAACTTTTCCATCTCTGAAATGGGTTCAATAAGGCGTATGAAATGATTAAAAGTAGGTAAAGTGCCTGGCCCAGTGGCTGCAGGATGGCAGGTGGTCCCCAGGAAAGGTCTGTGAGTTCTTGGAGCACCCAGTGACCCCTGCTTTCCCAGCTGTAGCGGGGAGCTAAGCCTGAGGGGCCAGGAGGTCTGCATTTGTGCCCACATCTGCATGGCTTAGCCAGGAGCCTGGGACAGCCGGACAACTCGAGGCTCAGGACAGACTCTCAGGGCTGGGCTGGGCTGGATTCCAGAGCCAGGCGGTGGTGGAGCTGGCCTGGGGATGAAATGTCATGATGAATTCCTGTTCCGGGAGCCGCCAGATCCACAGTCCCAGGCGCCGCCTCGGATGGGGATCTCCCAGAGGATTCCTCCCCACTTCCCCCAGGTCCCCCTCGTGTACACACACAGCCCCAGGCCTGCTCCTGGCCGGTGGACAGCAGGCCCTCTTCACTCGACCGCGGGCCCCGAGGCCCGGGCTGCGCTGGCAGGTCCCCGCGGTGCGAGCCCCAGGCCCCCGTTCCGGGCCGCCGCGCTGACTCACCCCCGCTCGCTGGTCCCGGCTGCGCGAGGGCCGCCTGGCCGCCGGCAGGAGCCCCGAAGCCCTCGTCATTCTCTATGCCCGCGATCTCGCTCTCCTGCTGGGCCAGGAAGGCGGCCGCCGGGTCCTCCTCGGCCGCCTCGGGGGCCCCGCTCTCCGACGACGAGAAGAAGCCGAAGTCATCAGCCATTTTCCCCGCGTCTCTGCCGAGGCGTGCGCCTGGCGCTCGGCTCTGCCCGGCGGCCGCGACACTGTCACCCGAGCCGCCCGGGGAGCCGGCCTCGCGGGGACGGGCTCGGCGCGGCGGCCC